AATATGCAAATACTAAGATGTCAGAATGTCTTTGACTTGGCCCAGAGGGTAGGGTCCTATACTACTCTTATACTTTCCACAACTTAAGAGCAAAAGGAAAGACATTTCCCTTCATTGCTTCCTGCTGACAGCCACAATGCTCACTGTTCATGTTCAGAGGCTGAGAAAGTCAGTAGCGCCTCTTATTATTCTGACACCTTCATTCCCTGAGTGGTTCTCACCACTTTCTATTCCCTCACCTTATCTATATACTATGATGGTTTTAACCATCCCCGAAATTCAAAACAATCTCAAGTATGTGCACAATCATAAGAGAAGCAACAGAAAACAACCTCTCTCTCTCCCTTTGAAATGAATATACCAAAACACTAAGGGGTGTATTCATTTCAAAGGGAGAGAGAGAGGTTTCTTCTGTTGCTTCTGGTTTGTCTGGAGAAGGCATCTGGAATGAGTACCTAAGGGCCCCGCACCCAACCCCTTCAGCCTGAAATATGGAGGCTGGTAAATTGTACTTTTTGTGAGTTTTAAGGCTCAAGGCAGCTTGTTTCCAAATGAATACGTCCCTTCCCCCCTTTGCCTGTTGACGGTTAAATGCAGAAAATGATACCTACACTGGTGTGCACTGGGCAGGCAGCATCTTAGTTTTTCAGGCTTCCCTCACCTCTATGGGACCTCTTTGATCAATGCTTTGCTCAATGCTATCCCTGAATGAGTAACTAAGAGTTTGATGCTTGTTGAATGTGTAGTATGTGCTAAATGCTGCCTGTGGTTGCCTCATAGAATCCTCCCAACAACCCATGAAATGACTACTAGGTAATCAATCCTTACCTAGATCTCATGTGTGAGCTGAAGTATGTTCCTAGTCCTCACACCTCATGTATTCATAAATCTAGTCTCCTCCTGGAGACCCGTCAGTATTTGAGCTGGGATGGGAAGGAACTCTCTGAAGTCAGAAGCATTCAGTGAAAGACAGCCTGGAGTCTGGGTGAGACTGTGTTCAAACTCTGCAAACCAGACCCGTCCTTTTACACCAATCCCTCTTCTTCTTGACCTAAACCTCCTCCTCCTCCTTCTGTGCTTGATGTCTTTTCAAGGGCTTCTCCAATCTGCTTGAAGGCTAGGGCTTCTCCCTGAATCTTCTCTGCCCCTCAGCTTCAACCCAAATCCACCCCAGTTCTGCTGACTCCATATCCTCATATGCTGCACAAATACCTCCCTCCTTCCCATCCTCAAGCCTTGAGCTTAGCGGAGGCCATCCTCACCCTGACCTGAAGGCTGTTGCTGGTCTCCTTGCCCTAAATGCTCATCCTTCCTCACCCTCCTTTGGCCACAGAATAAATCTTCTGCAACACCAACCAGGATCTCCCTGCTCAGCTCATGACTTAGATAGAGCAATGCCATCAAGGTTCTTCACGACCTAGCCTTGTCCTTCTTCCCCAGGTCTTCCCAACCAGCTCTGTCTCCTTCTACATCCAAGCTTGCCCATGCAGTGCTTGCAGTGAGGCTTCTGTCTCTGCCAGCAATAGATGATCCAACTCAAATTCCTTCTTATTTAAGAGGCTTCCCCAGCTCTCCCAGGCCACAAGACTCTCGCCTGGTTCTAAAAGTCAGTGAAACTTATTAAGCATACCTTGGAGGGGAAATCACACATGAAAGGTGTCATTTCTTAACTAATCATATCCATGTCTTTTCTCCCCACAGCAAGACAAAGACCTGTTTTAAACACATTTACAACCCATATGTTGCCTTGTACAAGGTAAAAAGTTGTACATTTCTGAAATAATTTTGGTATTTCTGTTCAGGTCACTAAACTCAAGAATCAGCAATTCTCTGAGGCTTTCTTTTTAATATATATAAGGAACTTTTGGAGAGAAGGGAGAGTTTGTCAATAACTTGATGCATGTGAAGGAGAGATAAAAAGGTTGCTATTTTTCATCAACATATTTTGATTTGGCTTTCTATAATTGATGGGCTTAAAAGATCAAATCTGCTTTAAATAGATGCCAAATAAATGGATGAATCTTAGACCTTCTGTAACAGTAACTTCCTTTTAAAAAAGACCTCTCCCACCCCACCCCCAGCCCAGGCTGTGTATCAACACCAAGTCATGTGCACAACTCTGACTGGGTCACCGGCACACTTGAGTCCGGGTCACAAGCCCACAGATATTTCCTGCTCCCCAGTGGATCGGGTGTAAACTGAACTTGCTCGCTCGGGAGCCTCTTGCTGGAAAATGGAACAGCATTTGCAGAAGCGTTTGGCAATGTGCTTTTGGAAGAAGACTAAGAGGTAGTTTCTGAACTTCTCCCCGACGAAGGCATAGATGATGGGGTTGATGCAGCAGTGTGTCATCCCAAGAGTCTCTGTCACCTGCATGGCTTGGTCCAACCTGTTAGAGCTACTGCAATTATTCAGGCCAAAGAACTCCTGGAAGGTGTTCAGGAGAAGGACAATGTTGTAGGGAGCCCAGAAGAGAAAATAAACAATCATGATGGTGAAGATAAGCCTCACAGCCCTGTGCCTCTTCTTCTCGTTTCGACACCGAAGCAGAGTTTTCAGGATTCCCGAGTAGCAGATGACCATGACAAGCAGCGGCAGGACCAGCCCCAAGATGACCATCTTTAATGTCTGAAAATTCTTCCAGAATTGATACTGACTGTATGGAAAATGAGAGCTGCAGGTGTAATGAAGACCTTCTCTCTGAGATCTGGTAAAGATGATTCCTGGGAGAGAGGCAAACACAGCCACCACCCAAGTGATCACACTTGTCACCACCCCAAAGGTGACTGTCCTGGCTTTTAAAGCAAACACAGCATGGACGATAGCCAGGTACCTATCGATTGTCAGGAGGATGATGAAGAAGATTCCAGAGAAGAAGCCTATAAAATAGAGCCCTGTCAAGAGTTGACACATTGTATTTCCAAAGTCCCACTGGGCAGCAGCATAGTGAGCCCAGAAGGGGACAGTAAGAAGGAAAAGCAGGTCAGAGATGGCCAGGTTGAGCAGGTAGATGTCAGTCATGCTTTTCAGCCTTTTGCAGTTTATCAGGATGAGGACGACCAGTATGTTGCCCACAAAACCAAAGATGAACACCAGTGAGTAGAGCGGAGGCAGGAGGCGGGCTGCGATTTGTTTCACATTGATTTTTTGGCAGGGTTCCGATGTATAATAATCGATGTCATAGGTTGGACTTGACACTTGATAGTCCATCTTGTTCCACCCTGTGAATAAGTAGAAAGTGATCTTTTATAAAGCCCTAGAAAGTATTTAGTGGCCCACCATGAATGCAAACAGTTTTATACATCAATAGGTTTTTAATTCCATACATAGATGTCTACATTGAATGAACTCCCTTTTTGGCCAAACAATGAAGTTTTGTAGTGAAGGGAAGGTTTGCTGCTAGCTTCCCGCTCACTAGATGGAGAGCTTGGCTCTGTTGGGGGAATTCATGAAAGCACCATCTCACCAAATAAAATCTTGTGCTCTATAGCACCACAGAGTGAATGAAGCTTTGATAACAATTTTAAGAAACTGGGTCAAGCATGGTGCAGCTCAGCCTTTTTGTTGTTGCTGTTGTCGTTGTTTTGAGACAGGGTCTCACTCTGTCGCTCAGGCTGGAGTGCAGTGGCTCGATCATGGTTCACTGAAGCCTGGACCTCCCGGGCTCAAGCAATCCTCTCACCTCACCTTTCCAAGTGGCTGGGGACTACAGGTGCCACCACACCTGTAACAGCTAATTTTGTTTATTTTTATTGTTATTTATTTATTTATTTATTTGAGACGGAGTCTTGCTTTTTTGCCCAGGCTGGAGTGCAGTGGCGCGATCTCAACTCACTGCAAGCTCCTCCTCCTGGGTTCACGCCATTCTTCTGCCTCAGCCTCCTGAGTAGCTGGGACTACAGGCACCCATCACCACACCCGGCTAATTTTGTTTTTGTATTTTTAGTAGAGATGGGGTTTCACCGTGTTAGCCAGGATGGTCTCCATCTCCTGACCCTGTGATCTGCCTGCCTCGGCCTCCCAAAGTGCTGGGATTACAGGCGTAAGCCACCACGCCTGGCCTAATTTTGTTTATTTTTATAGAGACAAGATCACACTATGTTGCCCAGGCTGGTCTCGAACTCCTGGGCTCAAGCAATCCTCCTGCCTCAGCCTCCTAGAATGCTGGGATTGCAAACATGAGCCACCATGCCCGGCTGCAACTCCGTCTTAAGATGTTTATTGATGCTGCCATTCTCTGGAGTTAGTCCACAAAGAGCATGCACTATGAGCAAGTCAGTAATAATTAAGAGACCTCGAGGGCACATACTGGATGCCAATCACTGTCTAAGAGTCATACCCATTCTTTCATTTAATCCTCAGGGCAACCTTATAAGGCAGGAAATATTTTTCACATTTTGCAGACAAGGACTTTGAAGCATACAGAGGGCGAGTAACTTGCTCAAAGCCACCCAGCTGGGAAGCAACTGATTTTGAATGCAGGAAGCCTGCACTCTTAACTACCATGCTACCCTCCCTCTCACTCCTGGAAAAGAGAATTAAAAGGCAAGACCATCAGATGTTCGGTGCTGTGATACAGTCAGAGTGAAATGGTCAGACGCCCAAGTCCCCCGAGAAGCTCATAGATGCCAACAGAGAATTGTAAAATCCTCACACTTTCTGTGAAGTTGGTGTTTATAGTTTCTGAGTTGCCACAATTAAGAGTTTTCATACACACCCAAGAAATAATAAAATAAAAAAAATGTTTCGTCTGCCACCACAGATGAATGTCATGCATTCTGGGTAGTTTAGTCTTATAACCAGCTGGCTTGCCTAGTCTATTTAAGTTCAGCTGCTCTAGCTGAGAATTTTCTCTTATTAAACCCTGCGAGTCTCAAATTCCCTGCATCTTAGATTAGGCAGCTGGGAGAAGCCTCTAGAAAAGCTCACTTTTAATTTAGAGCCATAAAGAATTACATATTAACTGTGCCATGCAACTGATATATTAGAGGAAAATTTTATCTGACGTTTGTAATTTGATATTAATTTGGACCATTTTTAGGCTTCCCTCTTGTCTGGAGGAAAAAGGAAAAAGAGAACCAGACTTAGACACAACTTCTTGTGGGCACATATTCAGAAGGCATTTCACTGGAGAGGGTTTAGTTCTCCTTAGCAGAAGATAAGATTTCAAGATTTCAGCTAAGACTCATCTCTCTGCAAATCTTTCTTTTGAGAGGTAAGGACTGTTAGTTATTAAAATACTATTGCTCCCTTTAAAGTCTTTCACTCACAATCATGTTTTGTATCTTTGATGTTATAATAATCTGAAACTCATTCTAAACTCTGACCCTTTCCTCATCTTAAAGATTATATTTTAAGATAATTGTATGAGCACTTTGTGTTTGCCAAATGTCTTCTCTGGGTTTCCTGTTAAGGCTTTTACTCATCTCAGAAGCTAACTAATAGGCCAAGCAGCTGAGGTTACTTACCAGGGAGAGTTTCTTGTAGGGGAACGGATGTCTCAGCTCTTCTGGCAGATGAGTTGTGCAAATCAATCATATAGACAGTATAAAAGTAGGAAATGCTGTTTCTTTTGAAGGAGGGCGGAGTTAAATAATTGAGTATTGAAGGCGAAAAGAATCAGAGAACAGTTCTTCTTTTCAAGTTGAGCTTAAAATAGGCTAGAGAGTAGATCTCGGGTCTGAAAGTTTATTCACGGGCTTTCCTCACTGGATTATTTTGTTTTTGTTCTCTGCTCATCCAACTACACAGAATCTGTTAGAAAATATAAAGAATAAAGGATATTAGAGCTAGAAGAACATTTACATTCACCTAGTCAAAAGCCTACGTTTGAGTAAAAGAAATTACTACCAAGAAGCAAATGATTTGTACAAGATCACAGGGCTTTTCAACAGTAAAGCTAAAAAGGTAAGAAAATTCTGATTATCTTAAGAGTTGCCATCAATTGAAGCCAACTTAAACCAACTTTAAATGTAGAGGGGGATCCTGGACTTCATGTTAACCCTGTGCCCCCTTTTTCTCCACTCTCCCCGTATCCCCTATCCCACTCCCCATACACATGAACTCACCACCCAATATTACTCCGTAAATGAAAACAACCTGTTGTCTAAAGAGTTTTAACTATAGGCGGGTGGGTGAGCTAACCAGGTTTCCCATCTTTATCTGGACTCAGGATCTTAGTGGGGATTTTCACTGTTCACTATTTTGTGGCCCTTCAGACCAGTAAGCATTTATGAGGACTCACACTATGCCAGGTACATAGGAGGCAGGATTCTTCACCCCAGATACAATCTATCCGGAGCTATGAGAAATTTTCCACATGACAGAAGTATATGGTCAAGTTCAGGTTCTTTATGACAATATTATGTACAGTCATATCAAGCTCTCTTGGTGGTTGGTGACGTCTGAAAATCTCAAGTATTGTCAGCAGATCTTGGGAGACAGCAGAGAGCTACTCCTGAGCCACAAGATGCCCTTCTGGGCTTCCGTGACCAAATAAAAAGCTTTGGCTTGTGATCTCTAAGAAGGCAAAGGAGACCCCAAACAGCAAAATTATATGCCCCCAAACCTACAGAGGCAGCCTAACCCAGGGGTTAAGCCAGAGGCCTCTGTAGTCAGACTGCCAAGCTTGAAACCTGTCTTACCCTCAGCTTTCTCATCTGGGTGTTGGGCTGAATGACAGTAGTCATTTCATGGGTTGTTGGGAGGATTCTATGAGGCATCCACAGCCAGCATCTAGCACATACTATACACTCAGTAAACATCAAACTCTTAGTTACTCTTTCAGTAATCCTTTGTCAGAGAGAGTTTATTTGATTACACCCTAGTAAAATTGTTTCACTGGAGTCTCTGTCTATAGCAGATTAGTTTCAGCAAACTAGAAGCTGAAAAGGTGAAGCTCATTGCTGGTGCTTGGAGAATAGAAAGAAATGACTGCTTGGGAAAAGCCAGAAAAGTACAGAAATAGCCCCGCGATCAAGACACCCCACCCCCGCCCCACATAGGGACATATGTCTCTGTTACAACAGAGCTCAGTAACTGGTAATCATAACAAGGACAGTGAATCATCAAGAAAATGTTCAAGTTCATCCCATATGTGCAATTCAAAAGGCATTGATTAAGAACTGTAGTCATGCTGCTGGGTTTAACCTCCAGCGTCATTACTACTACTTGGCTTTGACCAAATTATTGAAGCTCTCTGCCTTAGTTTTCTTAACTGTAGAGTGGAGGTTTTTAAAAAACCCAAATACAAACTTACTCAATACGCCTGCGGTGGAGATGGAATGACACAAGTGTAGAGGCTTTCAGGCACCCGCCCTCAGGGGGCTGTTTAAGCAGGGAAATATAGTGTGCTTTTGAAAGAGTTCAAAAATAGGTAACAAATAAATTAATACAAAATTTTATAGAAAATAGATAACATAAATACGACTTTGGTTTTTAGAAAGATAGCCTTGTATTTACTGGTAATCTGCTTGTGCAGAACTGCTGGAGGCTGCCGGACCAACACTGTATTTCTGTTTGTGACAATTGCTGGTTCTTACTTTCACCATGCAGAGCTGAGGCTTTGCCATGTTCTGCGTGTTTGTCATTAGGGTGGTGGAGGATGTGAAGACATGCTCACCCCCAGAGGGCAATGTGGGCTAGCAGAGCAGGCTCGGAGTCACACAGACTGTGCTGCTGACTTACTGTGTGACCTTGGCAAGATACTTCCACTGCCCAAGCTTCCATTTCCTCATCTGTTAAATGACGTGCTAGACCTGGGGCAGCTTCCACCCTAAATACTACATGACTCCATGGACAAGTTGGTTTGAAAAATATATACTAGATGGGAAACAAGGTGAGGATTCATAGCCCGAAACAAGGAAGCACAGCTTTGCAGTATGTGTTACTCCACTTTTGGGTTTCTGGTCCAGAGATGTGTTCTAGTAATCACTCAGGACAGGGGAGTTCAGCCCAAGGATTCACAAGAAAGTGGGGACCCATGGGAAATTCTTCAGCATTTAAATAAAATGTTCTGGATACAATAATGGCAACAAGCCAGCAGCTTATCACGCTGTGATTTAGTTGCTTGGTGTCTGCTACTCTTTCTACTTTGTCCTTCTCAGTTTGCATGGCTCTTGTTCTCTTTTTATTATTAAATATGTTCAGACTCCCCATGGGAAATGAACTTTTGATCAGTTTGTCACTCTAGACTCCATGCCCATATTGGAGGGTGTTTCGTGCCATCCCTCCTTTTTGGGGCCTTTTTGTCTTTAAGCAGCTGCTCCATGTCTAGTCGCTGTACCTATGTTCCAAGCGTTGCTTTGCTTTCTTCTTGCCCACACCATTTCTGGACCATATTTTCAGACCATCATCAACAGGATGGGGAGAATGTTAATTATTCACTGCGGGTGCAAGGGCCAACTACACAAGCACAGTGAGCAGGAACCCTGCCATACAGCAGCTGTTGTGAAAATCCCTGGGGCCTGAGTTGACTCCTGGTCAATATCAGTCAACAGTGAGATGGGCTGTAAAAAGAGCAAATGAATCTTTTATTTTTAAAAACAAATGTCTAGGCCGGATGCGGTGGCTCATGCCTGTAATTCCAGCACTTTGGGAAGCCAAGGCGGGTGGATAACTTGAGGTCAGGAGTTTGAGACCAACATGGCCAACATGGTGAAACCCCATCTCTACTAAAAATACACAAAATTAGCTGGGCGTGGTGGTGCGCCCCTATAGCCCCTATAGTCAGGAGGCTGAAGTGGGAGAATCTCTTGAACCCAGGAGACAGAGGTTGCAGTGAACCAAGATCGGGCCATTGCACTCCAGCCTGGGCGACAGCAAGGCTCTGTTTCAAAACAAAACCAAACAAACAAACAAAATGTCTAATTACAAAACCAACACAAGCTCATTGTATTAAATTGGGAAAAGCAGAAAAAAGGAAAAAATTAGGTACATTCTCACAATATCAAAACAATGTCTTTTAAGACATGATGTTTCAATTCTGACTTTTCCCATGAACTTTTTGATTAATTGTTCTCATGCATATAGCATTCTGTAGGTGGCTCTTTTTTTTGGCTAAAGATTATAGTGTAGACATTTTCCTATATTGTTAAACAATTCTTTATAAGTATAGTTCTTTATTATTTTTACTGAGGAAGGACACACTGATCCTAGTGCAGCTTGGCGAGTTTTGATATGCATACATGCATGTAACTACCACTCCTGATGAAGATGATAAAAGATATCCCTATCACTTCAGAGGGTGCCTTTTGCTCCACCCAGAGGTAAGGGCCACTCTGTCTTTATAGAGATTAAATGAGCCTGTCTTTAACTTCTATAAATTCTTTAACTTCTTCTATAAGAAGACAGATACTGTCTTCTTTCCCATCTGGCTTCATTCATTCAACAAAATACCCTTAATTATATTTAACAGAGTTCTGTCATTAGACAGTCGGGCTCTTCCCATTGTTCAGTCATGTGAGCAGTGACACACTGATTGTCACCATCAGTGCTCTGACATCCCTGTCAAGAAGGACACTCTTCCTGTTCCCAGAGCCACCTTTACCAAGAGAGCCAGAGAGTCCCCATGATCCTCACAGAAATAGGAAGAATCCAGTGCCACACTTTGTTATCCACGTGCCTCAGCAATGACGCTTGGGTCCTGTGACACCCACCAGGGGACAGCCTCTTTACCTTCTGCCTCAGACACCTATCATCGTGGGTGGGTTGGGAACTCACCATGCTGTTGTCTCCATCCCTGCCTCTGTCCTCTAGACCTTTCCCAGGGTAACTCACTTCCCAGGCCATGGACCACATCCCCCATGGGGATTTATGCAGTTCATCAAACCAGGTGGACACGTGCAAGCTGTCTACCTCATGGATTCATCAGATAGGCTCAAACCTGGTGGGAGCCCCTTAGCTCAGCTGAGAAGTCTTCTGTATGCATTTAGGGGATTTCTTTCAGATCAGTGTCTAGGCATGAGGCTAGTGCAATGTAGGTGCAGTAACAGATGTCTAAGCTAACAGTTCAACAATACAATAGACTCACTGTGATCTTAAGTGAGTCAGATCACACCTGGAGCTCTATACTCAGCTCTGCACATAACACGAGATTATGTAGGACTTTTCTGGTTGTCCCAGAACTAGCAACTATGGCCTAAGGCTGAAGGCAAAGAAGTGTTATGTACTCACAGATCCAAAGAAAACCACTGACACTTGGGCTCAGACACCTCTCCCAGGGCTTACTAGAAGAAGACAGCACCAGCCCTGTATCCACACCCATCACATCAACTCCTCTCACCCCAGTCTGTATACAGAGGCAATTAGGATAACGAGTGGACTGTAGAAGTGGGTAGGATTGGTGGGGAAGAGAGTGAGGACCCCTCTCCTCAAAACCAAGGAAAGGGGCTCTGAAGAAACCATATGAAGAATGGGGACTTGCAAAAGGAGAGGCCAGCATGGGTGGGGCCCCCACTGGGCAGCAGACAAGATGAGCAGGGGGAGTGGGGATTGGAGAGAGGTGATAGGGGTAGAGATAGGGTGTGGAAGTGAGGCTGCAAGGATCAAGAGTGCCCCTGGGTCAAGTGGCTGCCACAGGAGGGAACTGGGCAGGAACTGTCACATTGGGTCCTACTTTCTGGGTGAGACGAGCCTGGCGCCCAGAAAATGGTGGGTTGGAAGAAGTCAAATCAAAGAGAGATTTTGCATGTCTAGATCCATATGGAGCCCCCACCATCTCTAGGCCCTTGGATGTGACCACACAGTGTGCCTGCCACTCTGGGGCATCTTGGCCAAAACAGAGTGGACTGTGGCAGTGACCAGTTAGATAAAGAGGTTCAGGCACACCTTGGTGAGATTGTGAGTTCAGTTTCAGACTACCACAATAAAGCAAATATCACAAAAATAACTTTTTTGGTTTCTCAGTGCGTATAAAATTGTGTTTACCCTATACTGTAGTCTATTAAGTATACAATAGTATTATGTCAAAAAAAGCAATGTGCGTACCTTAATTAAAAATATCGCGGTGGCTCAAGCCTGTAATCCCAGCACTTTGGGAGGCCGAGACGGGCGGATCACAAGGTCAGGAGATCGAGACCATCCTCGCTAACACGGTGAAACCCCGTCTCTACTAAAAAATGCAAAAAAACTAGCCGGGCGGGTTGGCGGGCGCCTGTAGTCCCAGCTACTCGGGAGGCTGAGGTAGGAGAATGGCGTAAACCTGGGAGGCGGAGCTTGCAGTGAGCTGAGATCCGGCCACTGCACCCCAGCCTGGGCGACAGAGCAAGACTCCGTCTCAAAAAAAAAAAAAAAAAAAAAAAAAAAATTTTAGTGCTAAAAATGCTAACCTTCATCTGAGCCTTCAGCAAGTCATAGCGTTTTTGCTGAAGAGGATGGAGCTCTTGTTTTGATGTTGATGACTACTTACTGATCAGAGTGGTGGTTGCTAAAGCTGGGGGTGGCTGTGGCAATTTCTTAAAATAAGATGACAATGCAGTTTGCCACATTGGTCGACTCTTCCCTTCACAAAAGATTTCTCCATACCATGTGATGCTATTTGATAGCATTTTACCCAGTTCTTTCAAAATTGGAGTCAATGCTCTCAAACCCTGCCACTGCTTTATTAACTAAATTTATGTAATATTCTAAATCAATTGTCATTTTAACCACGTTCACAGCATCTTCACCAGGAGGAGATTCCATCTCAAGGGACCATTTTCACTGCTCATCTGTGAGAAGCAACTCTTCTTCTGTTCAAGTTTGATCATGAGAGTGCGGCAATTCAGTCACAACTTCACGCTCCACTTCTAGTTCTAGTTCTCTTGCTGTTTCCACCACATCTACAGCGACTTCCTCCACTGAAGATGTGAACCCCTGAAAGTCACCTATGGGGGCTGGAATCAATGCCTTTCACACTCCTGTTAATGTTGGTATTTTGACCTCCTCCCATGAATTACAAATGTTCCTAATGGCATCTAGAATAATGACTACTTTCCAGAAGCTTTTCAATTTGCTTTGCTCAGATCCATCAATGGAATCACTATCAATGGCAGCTATATAAACTCTAAAAGGCTATGTGTGTGTGTGTGTGTATATATATATATAGAGAGAGAGAGCTATTTCTTAATAGCCTTATGAAATATATTTATTAATAAGACTTGAAATCTTGGTCCATGGACTGCAGAATGGATGTTTGTGTTAGCAGGCATGAAAGCAACATGAATATTCTCGTACATCTCCAACACAGCTCTTGAGTGACATGGTGCAGAGCAGTAATATTTTGAAAGGAGTATTTTTTTCTGAGCAATAGTTCTCAATAGGGGGCTTAAAATATTCAGTAAACTATGCTGTAAACAGATGTGTGATCATCCAGTCTTTATTGTTCCATTTATGGATCACAGGTAGAGTAGATTTAGCATAATTCTTAATGAACCTAGGATTTTCAAAATAGTAAATGAACATTTACTTCAACTTAAAGTCATCAGCTGCATTCACCTCTAAAAAAAAAGTCAGCCTGTCCCTTGAAGCTTTGCAGCTTGCATTGACATCTCCTCTCTAGCTCTGAAAGTCCTGGATGGCATCCTCTTCCAACATAAGGCTGTTTTGTTTACATTGAAAATCTGTTGTTTGGTGTAGAAACTTTGATCAATTGTCTTATCTAGATTTTATGGATAACTTGCCACAGCTTCTCCCTTTGCACTTGCTGCTTCATCTTGCATTTTTATGTTATGGAGATGTTGTCTTTCATTAAACCTCACAAACCAACCGCTGCTAGCTTCAAACTTTTCTTCTACAGCTTCCTCACTTCTCTCAGCCTTCATAGCATTGAAGAGAGTTAGAGTCTTGCTCTGGATTAGGCTTTGGCTTAAGGAAATGTTGTGGCTGGTTGGATCTTTTCTCCAGACCACTTAGACTTTCTCCATATCAGCAATATGGCTGCTTTGTTTTCTCTTCATTTGCGTGTTCCCTGGAGTAGAGCTCAAATATCCTTCAAGAACTTTTCTTGTGAAGTCGCAATTTGGCTAACTGGTGCAAGAGGCGAGCTTTTGGCCTTGACTTTCAACATGTCCTCCTTACTAAGTGTAATCATTTCTAGCTTTGATTTAAAGTGAGAGACTTGGGACTTTTCCTTTCACTTGAACACTTAGATGCCATTGTAGGGTTATTAATTGGCTTAATTTCAATATTATTGTGTCGGGCTGGGCACAGTGACTCATGCCTGTTATATATTATTGTGTCTCAGGAACAGGCAGTCATTGGAGCAGTCAGAAGACATACAACATTTATTGATTAAGTTTGCCATCTTATATGGGTACACTTCGTGGTGCCCCAAAACAACTACAATAGTGACGTCAAAGATCACTGATCATAGATCACCATGACAGATATAGAAATAATGACAAAGTTTGAAATATTGGGAGAATTACCAAAATGTGACACAGAGATGCAAAACAACACCTGCTGTTGGAAAAACAGCACCAATAGACTTGCTTGAGGCAGGGTTGCCACAAACCTTCAACTTGTAAACAACAACAACAACAACAACAACAAACAATATCTGTAAAGCACAATAAGACAAAGTGTGTCTATATTTGCCCTTTTTCCTAACCCTCCTCTCCCACTTCTCAATGCTAGTCCATGCCTAGAAGAGGGAGGTACAAGGGTTCCCCACAAGGTAGACCACTAGGCACATGCTGTGGAAGATGGAGCAGGAGGGGACATAGGGACAGAACGCATCCCCTCCTCTAGGAAGGGCCCTCCTGAATCCAGTTGACCCTAAGGCCCCACTGAAACAATGATTGGAGAGAAATGAATAATTTCACATTGTGAGCTGATTACATTAGGATGTGTTATAAGGGATAGTATGAAGTAAGATGTTAGTCCATGCCCTTACCCTTGCTTGCTGAGCTGCTGGGCCCGCAGAGCCTCTCACGTGGTGGGAGGGAGAAGTTTTTCCCAGCATAATCCTCAGCTTGCCTCTCACTGTGGCCCCAGGCTGGGGCTGCCAAGGCCAGACCTTGCATTACAGGACTCTGTTTACACACACACACACACACACACACACACACACACACACACACACACAGAGTGCCGAAGTGGCAATGTCTGAAGAAATTTCCAGCCTCATTGCTCCCATGCGTGGAACAAATCTCTTCCCCTCAATTCATGCACTGTCTTCCAGAGGTCAGCTCACCAGCCCACATTCCTCTTCTGTCACAGTGTGGCTCCTCTGGGTGGCCCTTGGTGGTTTTTCCTGCAGGCTAATCTCACCTGAGGCCTTTTCAATTTGTCAGGGAAGTTTTCATAATGAGCAAAACCAAAAGAGGAAGGAAGGATGGGCTCTTGAAGGCTTACTTTCTGGAGGCTTTGGGGCCTCTTTGCAAAATGCTCCAACCTCCCCAGCTGCTGGGGATATCACAGATCAAGGGGGGTGGCATGGGGTGGGCTATGTCAAGACCCTTCCTTACCAAAAACGTCTTCAGACACTCATCCTTCAGAATCATGACCCTCCACCTTCCACCTGCTTAACTCGAACAGCCCACTCAAAAGTCCCCAGAATAAAGGAGACTTGAGGATTCCACTTTAGGAAGATGAGATGGCTGGCAATTTTTAAATGGCAGTTTCTTTGGCAGCAATGAAGTCCTGCTGTGGTTGTTATTCTTATGATGCAAGACTGTCATTGCATTAGTCACTCTGTCCTCCAGGCTCTCAGACTTTCCATAGATGCCTCTGTTCCTGCCCTGCACAGCGCACTGTGACTGTGCACAGGACCTTCTCTACCCCTCCCACTCCTCAGCTGGCCCTGGACTTGGAGGTCTAAAGGACACTGGCATTAACATCTGTCTTTCTGTTTCCAACCCTCCGGGGTGCTTGTCATATTGAATTCCATGATGGAAAATAAATGGATAGTTTTCCAGATTCTATATATGAAATCACTACATACCACATGTCTTAATCAGATTTTGTGCTTCTTAACAAACAACCCCTAAAACTCAGTGGCTTAATCACAGCAAACACAGACTTCTTGCTCATGTTATATGTGGCTGCAGCTCCCTGTGTCTTCTCATTCACCAGGGCGCACAGGCTGAGGGGTGTGATCTGGAATGGGCCTTCCCATGGCTGAGCAAGAGGCTCTGCTTGGATGAGGCAGATGTCACTTCTGCTCACATGCCAGCAGCAGAGCCAGTGCTGGAGGGCGTGGGGTGGGTGGCCTGTAGGGCGCACTGCAAGTCACACCACAAGGGCAGGTGTGTAATCACACAGGGGAAGAAGTGGAAAGCTGTGAACAAAACACAATCATCCACACCACAGTGTAAAAAAACAGCCAGTTGTTTTTAAATCTTTTATCAACATAGTTAGAGCATTGATTTATTTTCCAAATCATAGCTTTTAAAAACAGTATTTACATTTCATCACCATCAAATTAAAATTTTATGCATTCATTAGGATAATACAAATATATGAAGGTGAAAGTTCTGCTCGGTTCCCACTTCTTTCTGAAACCTTCTTTAGCCATGTGGCCTGAAAGTAGAGCCACAGTCCAGCTTGGGCATCGAGTTCCAAGTTGCCTGGTTCTAGAAGCCCAGTGTTTCTTGCTGGCATCAGATCAAAAACACACTGGGCAACATAAGAACATTCTTAACTTGGCTCGACTAAGAGGAAAGTCTTTGCTTACTTCAGGGAGCTTCTCCAACTTCTGTTCTTTACAAATAGGGTTTAAAAGCTTTGATTAGAAGCCAACTTGATTTAGGAGTTCCCGCTGGCTAAACAGGGAACAATGTGAGCATCAACAAGGACATCTGTGAAGCACTGAAACACTTGAATGTGATTAAACGCATGACTTCATAATGATACAAAACAAAACACAAAAGGCTTTTGGCAACAAGCCTGAGAGAATGGAGACCCAGCTGAGATGACAGCAATGGAGCGTGTACTGTGATTCGAATGACATCATTACTTAGATGCTGCGTCCACATAGGTTAATGTGCCCACAGATTACACACTTCCAACTCCTGCCAATCGACAACTACTGGGTTGACCCAGCCGTCTCCCAAACATACCACCTGCTCCAAATTCTTAAGCTCAAAGCTAGAATTATCTCTGTGACTAATACAGCATTTTCACGCTTGACATGACAGTAACTCAAACTAACACTTTACCACATTTACAAGTTGCAGTTTTCAGCTTTAATTTTATTTTTACTGTTTAAAAAAGTCTGAACTCTATGCCTGTATCCAAAAATGAGAAACTGGAAGGTAGTTTGGAAAATACTGTTTTCCAACCCAGCTGGAGTCTCTCTCCTCCCAGCCTTCCTGCCTGGTAACACAGACACCAAGTTTCACATTGTGAATCACACATCCGTGAGGCCAGATGTGTGATTTCCAAAGCAGAGGTCTGTTACTTCTGTCTCTAGGCTCCTTCTCTGCCCTGAAGACTGGCTTCAGGGGCTCTGCCATTTGACTTTCCTTTTCCACGACCATCAAGGAGTCCTTGTGTAGTTTCTTTCACATTCTTTCCTGGTCTCGCTCCTGGACCTCCACACACTGGTTTTTGGAGTGGGGCAATCCTACAGCCAAGAGCTATGTGATAAAGCCTGTGGGGAAACAGACAGGGGCAAGGGGAGCAGCAAGGCGGGGAACAGCAACCACAAAACAAACCAGCTCAGATCCAGACAGGAAGCTTTACTGGGTTCTGATGCAGCCTTCCTGGCTCTCCACTTAGTTATTTCTGGAAATAGTTCTGCAGTGGTTCCACACGATCCCTGTGCTTTGCTCCTGGTGAAGGAACTCATCATTCTCCATCCCCTTTTCATAATCACTACCTCCTGGAGAAATCAATCAAGAGTGTGTGTGTGTGTGTGTGTGTGTGTGTGTGTGTGTATATATATATTCACACACACATATACATCTATTAGCATATCATAGATGATGCATCTTATATAAACAAAAATTCTCTGAATTTTTAGACAGGGAGATGTGGCCAAAGAAGCATCTGAACAATGGAGCATGATATTTCATAGATTTCAAATGTAGGGTGCATGGTTGCCATAGATAAACTGTAATAAAGCAAAAATGTGTCGTGCACTTATGCAAAAGAGAATCATCGGACTCCATCAAAACTCCCAGGTTATCGCAGTTCCCAAACTCTCCATGACCTGGTGAAACCTTCGAGGTTAAATGTAGGTGGCAGATGGGGCTAAGGACCAGTATCATCTCCTGGCTGAGTGAGTGAGCCTTTTGCTCACCTTTGTCTTTGTCCAGGCTCAGTGATGCTTATGTCCCTCTCCTTCTCCTATCAGCCCTGACCCCACTATCCCTCACTCCCATTCATCTGTGCCTGTCATATTCTCCTCCTCACCTCCAGCTGGCCCTTGATTTCAAGACATTGATAGAATCAGAGATTGAGTGAAGAAATGATGAAGCCTAGAAAAAGAGGATTAGCACAAGGTAATGAGGCATTTTCCAAGAGCTGAGATGAGTTTTCTGGAGACTCAAAGTCTCTACCCATAGTTTTCTGGATTATTCCCTGAGCACATGTTGGATACTCATTGAGTGACATAGTCTGTCTTAGTACATACAGCCCTGAGGTTCCTGGGCACCTGCTTTACAGGTTTCTACTGTTCAAAAACCCTTGAAGTTTGTTGTTATATACAGATTGTTATTTCTCTTCATAAACGACAATCAAACTGCTCCTCATTTTATAAACCAACCGAGACTTCCTGCTCCGCAGTGGAAGGCGTGTTTGTTGAAGTCACTCCATCCACTGTCTCTCTGTAGAAAACTGGACATTGTTTGCAGAAGCGCTTGGTGATGTACTTTCGGAAGAACATCGAGAGATACCTTCTGAACTTCTCACCCACGAACGCGTAGATGATGGGGTTGATGCAGCAGTGTGTCATCCCAAGAGTCTCCGTCACCTGTGTGGCTTGGTCCAGTTGCCTGGTGCTTTCACAGTTACTCAGGCCGAAGAATTCCTGGAAGGTGTTCAGGAGAATGACAATATTATAGGGAGTCCAGAAGAGAAAGTAAACAATCATGATGGTGAAGATGAGCCTCACAGCCCTGTGCCTCTTCTTCTCGTTTCGACACCGAAGCAGGGTTTTCAGGATTCCTGAGTAGCAGATGACCATGATGAGCAGCGGCAGGACCAGCCCCAAAATGTTCCTCATTATTGTGTGGAAATTATTCCATCCTCGTGGAAAATAAGGGCCGCAGATATAAACAGAATCTTCTTCCTGGCATTTAGTAAAGATGATTCCTGGGACAGAAGCAAACACAGCCACCAACCAGGTGATCACACTTGTCACCACCCCAAAGGTGACCGTCCTGGCTTTTAAAGCAAACACAGCATGGACGATTGCCAGGTATCTATCGATTGTCAGGAGGATGATGAAGAAGATTCCGCCAAAATAACCAATGTGATACAGCCCTGTGAATAATTTGCACATTGCATTCCCAAAGACCCACTCATTTGCAGCAGAGTGAGCCCACAGTGGGAGAGTAATAAGAAAAAGCAGATCAGAGATGGCCAGGTTGAGCAGGTAGATGTCAGTCAAGCTCTTCAGCTTTTTGCAGTTTATTAAGATGAGGACGACCAGCATGTTGCCCACAAAACCAAAGATGAACACCAGCGAGTAGAGCGGAGGCAGCAGTTGGGCCCCGATTTGCTTCACGTCAAATTTATGACAGGGAGCACCATAATCATAATCAAAAAAGGTGGTGACTTCTTCACCGCTCCCATTGGTATTTCTGATAAATCGAGAACGAGATGTGGACAGCATGCTGTGGATGTACTGGGGAAATGTGTCCTTGCTCACTCCACTTTCTCTGTTATGTAAACAAAGAACAAAATGATGACCACACAACACAAACACCACAATCCATGATCTTCCAAATAGTCTGGCACCATGTAAGCAACTTCCCAGTCTTTGGCCTCTCCCTCGCAGCCATCTCCCTAAAAGCATGTGTGCTAGTTCCTTATTTGCCTTTCATTCCTAGTAGCAGACACCAATGATTTACCCAACAGCCATTTCCCAACACCCTTTGTCTTCCCCAGCAAGCCCGATTCTCATTTTCAGGCTAAAAGTGCTGGGCGTTTGTTTTCTCTGGCTCCTTTGCAGGTGGTGCATAGGTCTGTGACTCATTTCTGGAACACAATATGAAAAGGGAGTCTGCTGGGGGCTTCTGGGAAAGCTCTTCTTCCCTGATAAGGCAGACACAAGAGAACCCTCCACCTGCCCCTCCTGCTCTGGCAGCATGTCTAGTGAAGGTGTGGTGCCCTGAATGGAAGACCTAGAGAACCATGAGAAGCCAGGCAGAATCCTAAAATCACTAAGTCCCAAACCCACCCTTGAATTACTCATCTTCTTCCTTTTCTTTCTTTTTTTTGTTTTTGTTTTTGTTTTTTGAGATGGAGTCTTGCTGCATCACCAGGCTGTAGGGCAGTGGCCATGATCTCAGCTCACTGCAACCTCCGCCTCCTGGGTTCAAGCGATTCTCCTGCCTCAGCCTCCGAGTAGCTGGGACTATAAGCACACGCCACCACGCCCGGCTAATTTTTGTATTTTTAGTAGAGATGGCGTTTCGCCATGTTGGCCCGGATGGGCTCAATCTCTTGACCTCCTGATCCACCTGCCTTGGCCTCCCAAAGAGCTGGGAGAAAAACAAGCCCCTGTTTCAAAGCCATTATGAACTGCATTTTCTATTCTCTGAAGTCGAAAAAGTTCTGAGATTCAACTTTCTGCTTCCGTCATCTTGCCAAAATTTCTCTTGTTAAGATTGCAGTGACAACCCAGTTTTCAAATGCCCTGGTTTTATTCCAGTTCCATCCTGATGGAGCATTTGATCCTTCTGCTAACTTCCTCCATTTACAATTGTTTTTGGTTTCCAGATGGGAGGGGCTGTGCGACCACTTTTTATTCATGTTCTTTGTTGGCATCTCCTCCCTGTGCCCACACCTTAAGATTCCCTAGGCACCACACTTAGGTCTCACCTGTTTAATTTTTTGCGTCTTTATCCTTGCCACAAGGTTCTTCCTGAATCATGTTGTCTAACCTCATGGTTCCTACTCCCCTCTGTGCTGCTGTTTTCTAAAGCTCTGTCTTCAAGCTCCACCTTTCTCCTAAGCCTCAGAGTTGAATTTCCCATTGCCTGCTGCATCTCTCTCCATGCAGGTATTCACTGCACCAACACTTATTAAACACCTACTATGAACCATACTCAGTTTTAGGCACTAAAGATAAAGCATGAGCAAAGTGGGTATCATTCGGGGACTGCAAATTCAACCCACCCCAAACGGGGCACCCCTGAAAACTCCTCCAGCTTGTGGATTCCTCCACTGCATAAGAAGCAAAATTGGGCATTGCTCTGGGTCCCTTCCCCTTCTGAAAATTAGGAGCCAGCTTTTGGAGCCAAACAAACCTGGATTCGAATCCTTATAGGCAGTGTAATTTGGGGTCAATTACTCCTTCAAGTGTTAATTTCTTTATGTATAAAATATTAACTATGCTGAGTTGCTGTGAAGATCAATGGAATAAGGACTTAGGACAGCATCCGGTACAGAGAAATGCCCTGTATTATCATGTCATTTGAGTTCCACCTCATAGATACCTCTCAGATTCATCCCCTCTGCACTGCTTTCAACTGTCACTTTCTTGCTTCATATACTCTTCACTCCTGCCTTTGTTGTAGTCTTTCCTTTGCTCATGGCTCATCTCAAGCCATGTTCCCTCTCAACCTGTCTTCTCTTAAGTTGAAGTTGAATAGACACCCTTAGCTTAAAACTCCAGTAGCCCCGTGACTTATATGTGGTGGGCTTCAATATAATGTCCACACTGCCCAGCACAACGTCTTTTCTGAGTTTGCCTCTTCTCAACCTCACCTCCAGCCCTTTCTCCAATCCCAAATCCTGGGCTTCAGTCACAGCCATCTTCTTTTCATTTCCCCTAAACTCGCCACTTCCTTCATGCTTCAGTGGCTTTTCAGGTCCTTGCCCCTCTACCTAAAATGGTTGGTGAGCCCCTGTTCACCCTTCAATACCTCCTGCTCACATTCCCCTTCTCTGTGAAGCCTAATCTGTATCCTCTGTCAAATTACTCTTATCACATAACACTGCATGCATCTAGATAAGCACTTATCATGTTATCTGCTACACACAGCATGTTCCTTAAGATCAAGGACTGGATTATGCTTCTATTTCCAGCTCTTATAATAGTACCTGGCTAAAGGAGGCACCAATAAATGTTCACTGAATGAGTACATAAAGCTCTTTATAATAAGACCTATAAGCCCTAACATCATCAGGACTTGATTCTCAATATTTTTTTTTTCTGGTAGTGACTCTGAATTTCTTTTCCATCCACCTGTATACCTTATCCTTCCATTTCTCTTGCAGTTGACACTTTTCACAAGTCTTGTATTTCATATCACTGAGTCAGATTCTTGAAATCTGGAGAAGCTAAATAAGACCTCTGATCAACGTTGGAAAAAAATACATCTGCCTAAAGAATTACAACTGTGGTCGTTAATTAAATGCTGCTGAAGCTCAGGTGCTATGTTAAATGCTATGCACACATTACTTAATTTCATTTTTACAACTGGCTAGCATGTAGCTTCTACTACAATGAATAACAAGCAAGATGCCTGAAATGTGCTGTCTTAGGTGTCATTTCAAGTGTCAGGACACGTCACCCAGAACTGATAGAAATCTATCTTTCAGAAAAATAAATTCCTTACTTCTGCCTCTTGGATCTCCTGAGTTGAGGCAAGGGACACATTTTGATTCAGAGCTTGGATGCTCCTATATTTAGACTAACAGTTCCAGCTCTTTAACATCCTTGGGTGCTCAGAGGGGCAGAGTGAGGCCCTGGGTGTGTGGAGAGGTGACTGAGCAGAGTGGCTGTCCTGGCCTTGCTTGCTGCCCACTCTCCCCCATCACCAGCTGCACCCTGCTCCTCCTCAGGGTTTCTCTGACATCTCCTGGTGCACATGCCACCCCCACCCCTGCCTCTCACCTTGATCATTCCCCACAAGTGCACAGGCTTTGCAGTCCCCCAGGGTGTACCCAGTTCCAGCATTTCCAGCTATGAGATGCATTGAGCCTATGAATCAGAAAGTAATGGAAAAAATGCCCACAACTCACCAGCTTATGGCTTTCTCAGGCAGTCCTGGTATGTCAGGCTTCTCAGCAACTGAACCAAACAGATCTAGAGGTAGAAACTTGGTATGCGGAAGTAGGAAATAAAGTTTCCTGCAGAAAGAGAAGGCGGAGATACAGGGCAAGTAATGGTAAAGATTTGAAAAAAAAAATCAGAAAAATATAGTTCTTCTTTTCCAGCCAGGAACATTGTACATTGGGTTGAGGTCTCCAGAATAGGATTAATTTTGAAATCTTGCTTATGCAACCTTGAGTGTGAGTCAGGCAAACCCTGTACATCTGCTCCTGTTTCTAACGACTCTGAGAGTCTTTATCTTGTGGGTCTTTATATCTGGAACACTTCCACTCTCTGCTCTCCTACTAGTGATAATTTGCATGATATGAGCACAACAGAACTTTTCATTTTCCAGAGAATAAAGGATGTTAGTGATAGTGGAGGAAATATAATGAGGTTTTACTGTGATCATGTGTGCTGGTTATTGTGGATTTAGAATCTGGTTAGAAATTTCATTTAGATAACACTTTAAAATTTTTTAAAAATTTAATTCACATAATTATATATATTTATGGGACACAATGCGATGTTTTGCTACATGTATACATTGTGTAATAATCAAATCAGGGTAATTACATATCCATCCTCTGAAACATTTATCATTTCTTTTGAAATAATAATCTTGAAAATCCTCTCTTCTAGCTATTTAGATACATAGAATTCATCATTATTAACTACCATCATCCTACCATGGAGAAGAGCACCAGAACTTGTTTCTCCTATCTCATGGTCACTTTGTACCCGTTGATCAACCGCTGCCCATCCTCACCTCCCCTCTTTCCTTCCGTCTCTGGTAACCACTGCTCTATTGTCTGTTTCTAAGATAGCAACTTTTTTTGTTGTTGTTTTTTGAGATGGGGTTTCATTCTGTCACCCAGACTGGAGTGCAGTGGCACCGTCTCAGCTCACTGCAACCTCCACCTTCCGAGCTCAAGCCATCCTCCCACCTCAGCCTCCTGAGTAGCTGGGATTACAGGTGTGTGCCATCATGCCCGACTAAGCAACTTATTTAAAAAAAAACAAATTCCACATAAGAGTGAGATCATGTGGTATTTGTCTATCTGTGTGTGGCTTGTTTCACTCAACATAATATCCTCCAGGTTCATCCACATTGTCACAAATGACAGGATTTGAAAAGGAAATGCTAAATTATCTCTTGTGTCAGGAATGTCCTCAGCAAGAAGAACCTCAGTTATTTTAAGTCCCCCTCCTTGGAAAGATGTTTTGTTAAAAGAAAATGTAAATTCTGCAATGGGGACATCATACTAGGAACATTCCTAAGATTGTACAGAGAACATGGTGTCATCTAAGTTGGCCCCTGACACTTTCTGGAATCCAGCAGACACTGGAGGTAGGAGCTCATGCTGTGGACTTGGCAAGTTTCTAAGTTTCCATTTCCCAACTATGAAATATGAATAACAAGACTGGGGGTCTGTGAGGGTAAATGGATCTAAAGCAGCTAGTGCAGGGTCTGGCAGGCACTCCACAGGTAACAAACAGAACAGAACAGTCTGAGCCCTGCAGAGTGCCAGAGGTTGAAGGATGCATCCACCGCTAGAGCCAACAATCAA